CATGTGACCAACATGTCAAAGTAGCTTATGTCGCTTTTTGCTCAATTAGCTAGACGCCTTTTTTTAACTGAATCTTTTGACACGTTTGTCACACATTCTTCCATCAGAAAGACACGCTTGCCACATTTGGGGTACCATTAACAATGAATGGCACTGCCAGTGCGATATGTGTTTTTCATGTTTCGTAAACGTGCTAAAAATTGAGGGATGTTGCAGATGTTTATGCAGCGAACAGGTGTTTAGCTAAAAAAAAAAAAAGTAAGGATCTGTAAATGAGGTAGAATCTGATCTGTCACAGGATTCTCTCCCCCATTCACAGACTGTTACAGGCAGTATGATCAGTGAAATTCTTTTCTCGGTGGAGGAGAGTGCAGGAGTGAGCGTGTACCTGTTGGATCATCTTTACCCTCGGTTCACATTTTCGCAGGTGGTGCTGCTGTGGGACCTGCACAAATACCTGCAGCTATACCACCCCCACAGAGGAATGCGTGACCCGGGGTGGGTGCCATTAATTGTAATGGCACGCCGCCCGCATTGGAAACCTCGGTTCCTGTATGGGCTGCGATTTCCAAAGTAGTGCAGGGACTTCTTCACTGCATGTCCCGGGGCACAGGAGTCTATTCAAATGAATGGGCTCTCATGTCCACGCAAATCACGGCCAACACAGATGTGAACCAGGGCTTAGTGCAGCTGAGCCTGGGGACCCAAAGCCATTAACTCTTACAGTGCCAAACATTCAGCAGCAAGAAGAGGACAGGGCAGCCCTGCGGTAAATATTTCTACAGAATCCAGCAGCCTGCGCATTGTGGAACAACTTTCACTACAGGTAAATAATGTAATGATGGCTGTAGGTAAAAACATATGTTTTAAATAACTTCAGCTTTAATAATGGACAGTGCAGTCTGGAACCAGTCTGTTAGACTGGAGAAGGGAGGAGCATGGGGCTGTGTGTTTCTATTGATGCACGCAGTGAAGGGACAACTCTAGTTCTTGCATGCAAAAGTGGCTCCAAAGGACACTGCAAGAGAAAGAAACCACCCTGAAACAGGAAACCTGGGGAAGGAGTCATGACACCAGCTTAAACTGGAACATAGACAAGGATTAAAAGATAAAGAACCTGCATATTGAGTAAGTGAATAAATCAACTGCTGAAAGTGCCTAAAACAGAGTTTTAGATCACTTTAATGGCGCAAAAATAAAAAATGCTCAAACTACTGCAATTACAATATTATTATTATACAGTAGTTATATAGCGCCAAAGGGTATGCTCAGCGCTGTACATTATAGTGGGGGACAGAACATGAGACAAGACAGTAATACACTACACGAGGGGTTCGAGGGCCCTGCTCCTTGGAGCTTACAATCTAGGAGATCTTGACTGAACCAATTGAGCTACACTTCTTGTTTCATTAATAAGTGGAATTCTACTCATTACCATGCTTTTCCTAAAGAACTTTCTTTAATGAGTCTAAATCTGTGGACTTTATGTAAGCAAACTTCAATAATGGAAAATGCATTATTTATTTGGATTTATGCTGCGTAGCAACTGAGGAGGAAATTGATGTTCTCAGGGGCCAAGGCCACAATCCTCACTGTTCAATCAATACACTTCCCTCCCGGCTGGCATGCTATAGAAAATGCTATAGGTAATGGGATTTTTATAGCTCTATAAAGATGAAAACATTCTGCATAATGTAAAGTGACAAGAGAAAAGATTGCAATCATGAGCTTACAAGGGGACCTGCTGGATTTTGCCCAGTATCGCCAGCTTCTTTTGTCACGTTATTGTCTTTCTGGTTTCACAGCTAAAATCTCCAAATGTATTGTTTGCAAACAAAGTGAAGTTGTGTCACATGACTGAAATCCTAGAGTTTTTGGCCTATTTGTAAACAAAGTCATGTGATATCAGTGTTACACAGCCTTCCTGTCCGTTATGCTGGCTTCTTGAAGAGGACTCAGGGGGAGGTGTTGGATAAATGAGCTGAGCTCCCACAATAAACCTGCACAGAAAAAGAGGGGATGGTGTTAGACAGTGGATGAGAATCACATTGGAATCTCAGAAACTCCTGCCTCATGTGAGTGTTTCCATCATAGTTGGCATCAGTACTATTCTACTTGGGTGTGACTGAAGCTGCATCGTGGTATCAGACATGGTGGGGGTTAGGTTACTTTAGTGCCTGGCTGGCTGAAGAGGGAGGTTTTTGAGGCTGGAGTATAGCAGGAGCAAAAACACTGTTACGCAGGTAGCAAAAGCACAGCAGTGGAGCACAGTCCAACATGACAACTTAATCTGACCATACACCGTACACTGGACACCATTCAGCCAGTTCGGCAGGGACTGGGTGACTTTCCATCACTGTGTGGCAACCTCCCCTTTTTGACAGAAGTCAATCTGTTGAAGAGCATTTTGGAAAATGTTTCTCAATCAGCAGCTGTAACCACTGATCAGACATACAGTTTAAGTCCTTTACATCACACACACAAAAAAAAAAAAAAAATAAAGCACACCTTGCACAACTAAAATGACATTGGCTAGTTTATTCAAATTCATAGAAAGGAACCCACCACAATTTTTTTTCATTAAAAAAAAAAGCCCCTGCCAGAAAACGTTGATTACAGCCTATGTGTGTATGGACACATAGGATAACATGGTGGGGGGTTTACTGGCTGTAGAAAATATATCAAAAGCCAAAAACAGCCGCTGTAAACAAGTCCAGTGTGCATGAGGACTAAAAATGGAGAAAAGAGTATCTGTTTCATTTGGTGAAAATTGATGGCAGAAATCTGTCTTGTTAAGAACGACAAAGGCATGCTTAGGAGTGCAAACAGAAGTCCTCAATAACATGAGTTTAACAAAAGTGTAAAAGGTCACAAAATGACCGAGATTCTACGGTTGAAAGTCTTATAAATTCTACACTATTGTCACACAAGCTGCACCGCTGCATGCTCTGGAAGTATAACTATTAAAAAAAACAAAAAACAAAATAAAAAGCACATAAAAAAAAAAAAAAATCTTGATTGTAGAGTCCAACCTGATGCTGTTGAAACGGATGCATGAATTGCACTCACTTCCTACCGTCACTTCTAAGTGCTAATTGGAAGGTCTGCCTACTAAATGATCAGCAATATAATAAAATGAAAAAAAAAACTGCTGGGAAAAAGCAATGAGGCAATACCATGAGAATGAAATTACACTGCAGAAGAACTGTACACAGTGTACAGAAAACTCCCATTGTTACCAGAAAGCCATAATTGAATGTTTGTCATCTCCAGAAAATCAGAGCTGGCTACAGAATGAAATCTACAGTTGTTAGTCACAGAAAATTCAAAATAGGTGGTGTGCCAATTACAGCCTAACTCCACGTTTACTGCCCTTTTAAAATGGTTTATTTGGGTCAAGCTGACCCAAACTAACTATTTACTGCACTAATATACAGTGTACAGTGCTGTATTCCAGCAGTGGGAGGGGAGATTCCTGTCCTACTCCCAGAATAAAATACAATTGGGCTGAGTACTGCTCAGCCATTCACAGAGAACTTTGTCTTCTATGAATGAATACAAAGCTTCCTCCAATTGACTGAGCAGGAGATTGTGACATCATCCACTCTGCTTCAGCCAATCAGAGAAAGCTTTGTATTCATTCATAGAACACAAAGCCTCATGTGAATGACTGAGCAGCGATCAGCTGACTGTTTTGTTCTGGAAGTGAGATGGGAAATCCCTGTCACAGTGCTGTATATTGTATGTAGATGAGGCTACATACAGTGCACCCTCCAAAGCACCTGTAAGCGCAGGAAAAAGTTTGGGCCAGTTTGGCCCAAACTAACTATTTAAAAGGATATTAAAGCCTCATTTTCTTTTTTTAAATAACAAACATGTAATACTTATCTGCTCTGTGCAGTGGTTTTGCACAGAGCAGCCCCGATCCTATTCTTAGGTCCCACATCAGTGCTCCTGGCTCCTCCCCTTCGAGCAGTGCCCCCCAGAGCCACTTCCTCTGGGGGCATTGATGCGTATTCGTTCCCAAGCCACTGATCTATGCGTCCATAAAACACACAGAGCCCCCCCCCCCCCCCCAGGGTCTCTCCTCATTGGCTCACTGGCTGAGTCAACGGCCTCCCGCTGCTGTCTCAGCCAATGCAGAGGCATAGTCCCTGTAGAACAGAGGCTCTCATGAATGTCGCTGGATGGGAGGGGGGTCAGGTAAGGATTGGGGAGGGGGGGGGGGGGGCAGCTGCACAGAGAAGGTTTTTTTCATGCATAGAATACATGAAGATAAAAAAACTTCAGCCCTTGTTATCACTGTAAACATGGGGATAGGTTTTAAATATTATATATATTTTTTTTTTAATTAAGCTGCAGTTACCCGTTTTGATTTTTGGAAAAGACTGGGAAAACTAACAGTATAACGTAGAATACATATCTGAGTGTTCACCAACGTGTTTTGGATTTCATAGTGTTTAACAGTTTATTTATAAAATATTTGCTGTTGTAATCAAGACCTGTGAGGGATTTTAAAACATATGGCACTTGGTTCTCCCGCAAATCAATATAAACTGGTATTACTCTGGCCGTATTTTTCTCTACAGAATTGACAAGGCACCATTCAGACACCCATCTGCACCAGGACTCTGCAAGAAAGCGAGAGGAGAGCATAAGGAATGACACCCTACTGGATTGAATTACAGTGTCGGCCACTGAAATGGCCTGTACTCCACCTGCTTGATCACGGTGCTCAACAAAGCCATGGAAGCCATTCTGCTCCAATATTTCAGCAACTTTAAGAGCAATGTCTGTATCGTGCTCACTGTGCCACAAGGAGAATTCATACTTATATTCTGTTGTGCCCATATCTCAAGAGGACACACAATGTCAATGAAGTGCTTTTCTCAAAGGATGAGTATGCTCTAGTGAATTTCATGCTGTAGATCTTTTCGCATATACTTTCCAAAACCATTGGCATGTAGTTGGCCAAGTTAAATGATACACTTGGACTAAATTCACATGGCCGCTTCTCTTAGCTCTTCAATAACACTTTCAAGCTTCAACCCAGAAGATCTCAAAGCCTCACATCTTTCCTTCAGTTCGTCCTGGGCTTCCTTCAGCTTGTTGTTTAATTGCACATATGAACAACTCTGTAAGTACTGCTTGTTTGCTTCACTAGATGCATCATAAGTTGGAATAAAGGTCTCTGTTAGAAAAACAAAGAATAAAGTAAGTCAACAGCAGGGCAGTGGTAAGCAAGCACATGGATGAAACACATATAAAGGAGCTGTTCTATCTTCCAAATGGGTTTTTTGAGCAATGCACACACCTTTATGAGTCAACCAACTCCTATGTGCTACATGGAAGCACAACAAGATGCCAAAAACACTATTTAGAGATTGCATATTCCAAACAACTACGCATAAGCCTTTGTGTTCTTGGTACCACTAGTCAACACCACACTGGAGATGCCTACTCCACGCTCCATACCCTTTGTAAACCAAGTACCTCCTACACTTGCCCCATCACTTTTTAGACCAGGAACACCCAATACAATAAGAGGAATTTCAGTCCCCTTTACCTTTTGTCTGCCTGCCTCTCCCTAGAGCCACCATCTTTGTAATTATGGCACCAACTCAAATGTGCCGTATGGCCCTGAGCCCTGCAGCACATCTGCGCATAGGAGGGGGGATTGTTCGCACAGCAAGGATCAGGACTTCCATACCCACACCATCTTTGCATTTTTGAGCTCCTAGACAGCCTAAGGTGCAACCTGGCAGCATAGAATGGACTGAAACAGGATATCCCAAAGGTGTTCTATTGCATTTAGGTCAGGCGAGCGTGGGGGCCCATTCAATGGTATCAATCCCTTCATCCTCCAGCAAATGCCTATATACTCTCTAGCCACATGAGGCCGGGCATTGTCGTACACCAGGAAGAACCAGGACCCACTGCACCAGCGTAAGGTCTGACAATGGGTCCAAGGATTTCATCCCCATATGGCAGTCCGGGTGCAACTGTCTAGCCTGTAGAGGTCTGTGTGTCCCTCCATGGATATGCCTCCCCAGACCATCACTGACCCACCACCAAAATGGTCATCCTAACAATGTTACAGGCAGCATAATGTTCTCCACACCCTTTCACATCTGTCACATGTGCTCAGGGTGAACCTGCTGCTCTCATCAGTGAAAAGCACAGGGCGCCAGTGGCAGACCTGCCAATTCTGGTGTTCAATGGCAAATGCCAATCGAGCTCTATGGTGCCGGTCAGTGAGCACAGGGCCCACTAGAAGATGTTGGGCCCTCAGGCCACCCTCTTGAAGTCTGCTTCTGATTGTTTGATCAGAGATAATCACACCAGTGGCCTGCTGGAGGTCATTTTGTAGTGCTCTGGAAGTGTTCAACCTGTTCCTCCTTGCACAAAGGAGCAGATACCGGTCCTGTTGATGGGTTAAGGACCTTTTATAGCCCTGTCCAGCTCTCTTAGAGTAACTGCCTGTCTCCTGGAATATCCTCCATGCTCTTGAGACTGTGCTAAGAGACACAGAAGACTTTCTGGCAATGGCACGTATTGATGTGCCATCCTGGAGGAGTTGGACTACCTATGCAACCTCTGTAGGGTCCAGGTATCGCCTCATGCTATCAGTAGTGACACTGACCCTAGCCAAATGCAAAACTAGTGAAAAACAGTCAGAAAAGATGAGTAGAGAAACAAATGTCAGTGGCCTCCACCTGTAAAACCATTTCTGTTTTGGGGGTCATCTCATTGTTGCCCATCTCGTGCACCTGTTGTTAATTTCATTAACACCAAAGCAGCTGAAACTGATTAAAACCCCCCTCTGCTACTTCCGAGCGCTGGGCAGGTAGTTTCTTTCTACCTTTAGCCCTGCTTCAGGCAAGCAGCAGTGCTCACCTGTCAAGTGGAAGCATTCAGGCGGCAGTGCTGCTGCCTGATTACTTCAACACAGTACCAGCCTCTCCGCCCGCCCCCCCCCCCCCCCCCCCCCCCCCAGTGAGGTCTCTGCTTGCCCATCTGTGGGCCCAGTTCGCCATCAGCTAGAGGGGTGGGAGAAGAGCAGACACATCTGCTCTCCTCTTCTTGTGCTGATCCGAAAGTGACGTTATGATGCCACATCCGGGTCCCCGTCGAGAGATTGTAATGCAGTGCACATCACACCGCATTACATTCTTTCCCGGGGATTGCATTACATTCAGTGGAGCACAGGGGAGACATGCAGGGTCTTTTAGACCTGTATGTCTCAAAGAGAACCTGTCGCCAAAAAATCATCACATTTTTAAATTGTAAAAAACTTAAAAGTTACACCCTAACACATACCACCCCCCCCCCCCACAAAAAAAATAAAATATTGAGGCCCCCCCACATATATGCACGTACAAGCGTAAAAGCACATGCTGGGGCGCCTACGCATGAAACCGTCGATTGAGATACACATGTCACATATCGCCGCGCACGCCAGAACGAGAGTAATAATTCTAGCATGAGACCTCCTCCGTAACGCTAAACTGGTGACCTATAAAAGCAGCTTTAAAAGTGTCGACCGATAGAAAATATCTAATATAAATAACTGAAGTTCGTCGCAATTTCACGAGCACGCACAAATTTAAGGTTTGACAAGTTGGATATCTATTTACTCGCTGCAACCTCATCTTTTATATTTTACAAAAAAAAATAGGGCCATTTATTGCTTTTTTGTGCCCTAAAATTAACTTACTTTTATTTTTTACTAACATGTTGTAAAATCATGCGACATAAAAAATTGGAACTACCACTATTTTTTTCTCTAGGGTCTCTGCTTTCAGAAAATATATCATGTTTGGGCTTTTATGTAATCTGCAGACCTAAAACGATTTTTTAAACCTGTGCAAAAAAATGCAAAAACGGCTGTGCGAAAGGGATAAAGGATAAGCCCTGACCACCCTTTCAAGACGAGCACCCAATCGGTGTTCATCACACTGCAAGGTCTCTCTCCTCCCCACTAGTCCCCAGGTGTGGTGCGGGAGACAGGTAGGGAAGGGAGGAGGAGATAAACAGTGCAATGTTAAAAATATTACACATTTAAGTCGCCATAAAGCCTCTCTCTTGTTTTTAAAAGCCCCAGACATTCCTAATATCACCGCCAATTTAAATACAGTTGTGACCAAAAAAATTATTCAACCCCAATGCTGTAAAGGGGTTTAGGGACTATAGTGTACATTTGGAATTGTATTCAGAATCAAATCCTACAAGGACGTTGTAACTACCCAAATGCAACTAAAATGACATCAATTGTTTATGTAATACAGTAGTAAATGGTTCTTATGTGGTTTCTTCATTGCCACAATTATTCAACCCCTTAAAGACTACCACTCTGAAGAACAGAGGTTCATACAGGTGCTTTCCATCAGGTATTGAAAACACCTGTGGATGTCACCGAGCAGCAATCAAGCATAATAAGCACCAATTAGGCAGCTTTAAAATGACTGTGATACTCAGCTCCTTCTAGACATTTACTGGTGTGGTTACAAAACATGGTGAAGGCAAGAGAATGGTCCAGGAAGACAAGAGAAGAGGTGATTTCTCTTCACAGGAAGGGCAATGGCTATAAGAAGATTGCAAAGATGTTAAACATACCAAGAGACACCTTAGGAAGCATCATTCGCAAATTCAAGGCAAAGGGCACTGTTGAAACGCTACCTGGTCGTGGCAGAAAGAAGATGCTGACTTCGACTGCTGTGCGCTACTGAAGCGTAGAGTGGAGAGAAGTCCCCGTGTGACTGCTGAGGAACTGAGAAAAGATTTGTCAGATGTGGGTACAGAAGTTTCAGCCCAGACAATAAGACGCACACTGCGTAATGAAGGCCTCCGTGCCAGAACTCCCAGGCGTACCCCCTTGCTGTCTCCAAAGAATAAGAAGAGTCGACTGCAGTATGCCAAAAGCCATGGTGACAAACCACAAAAGTTGTGGGATAGTGTTCTGTGGACTGATGAAACAAAATTAGAACTGTTTGGGCCCATGGATCAACGCTATGTTTGGAGGAGGGAAGAACAAGGCCTATGATGAAAAGACACCTTGCCTACTGTGAAGCATGGTGGAGGGTCAATCATGCTTTGGGGCTGTTTTGCTTCTGCAGGTACAGGGAAGCTTCAGCGTGTGCAAGGTACATGAATTCTCTTCAGTACCAGGAGATATTGGATTGAAACGTGATGCAGTCCGTCACACACCTGAGGCTTGGGAGACGTTGGACCTTTCAACAGGACAATGATCCCAAGCATACCTCCAAGTCCACTAGAGCATGGTTGCAGAGGAAAGGCTGGAACATTTTGGAGTGGCCATCGCAGTCACCAGACTTAAATCCCGATTGAGAACCTCTGGTGGGACTTAAAGAAAGCAGTTGCAGTGCGCAAGCCTAAGAATGTGACTGAACTGGAGGCCTTTGCCCATGAATTGGGCGAAGATACCCGTTAGATCGCTGCAAGACACTTGTGTCAAGCTATGCTTCACGTTTAAAAGCTGTTATAACTGTAAAAGGATGCTGTACTAAGTACTAAGATTGAATGTCACTTGGGGGTTGAATAAAACTGATAATGCTGTGAGCACAGAAAAGACATTTGTGGTTATTTCATTATAACTGTTATGTTATATTTGTCTGACCTACAAGTGCCTCTTTAATGTAAATGTAAGCAAGATGACTCTGAATGATCAAAAAGCAATGTCAAACTGGCCAAAACACTCAATTTCAGTGGGGGTTGAATAATTTTGGTCACAACTGTACGGTATTGGTTAAATTTTTTTTTTTTTATCTGGACAAGTAGATTGTAATGAGGGACAAGTAGATTGGGGCCCCCCGATTTAGTCCCTGGACAAGTAGAGTAGTTTTTTTTAAAAAAATTTACGCACGCACGGAAGTAAACTACCTTCTTATTACATGGATGGTGGTATTATTTAATGCAGCCATAGCCATCAACATCCTGTTACCAGAAAATCTTACCTTCGCTGAGATCACAAACAAATACAGGGTCAGATGCTACAGCACCCTGAACATCTTCCAGAATCTGCTCTACGGTAGGTGGTTCTGGTCGAGAAGGAAGAACAATACGCTTTTTTGCTCTGGAGGTCATCTTGACAATGTTTCATGAAAAAAAGTAGTTGTCTGAAAACACAAACACATAGTCCATAACATGCTGGGACAATCTTGCTTTTCCAATATTATGACAAATTTGTACACAGATGTTTAGGGAAAGCAGATAAGTTAGGGCAATGGTTTAGTTTGAATTTTAGGACTAAGATTAGTAAGGTGTGGTCTGGTGATCCGACATTGAAGGAAGGTCCTTTAACCGTCTTTCAATTCCACTCTAGCTCCTGTGTATTGTGACTGGCACCTTAAAGTGCAATGAGATACTGCCAAATTTAGCGCAGGAGGAGGAGGAATTTTGGTCGAATGTGTTGCGTTTGCAGCCCAGAATGAGCTACCTTAAAACAACCCTCATCCACACGTGTGTTGAACGCACCACAGTGAACGGCCTGGGCATGAATGGACCCTGAAAATACATTTGTGTCTTGCTATGTGAAGAAACAAACTTAACCAACCACACAAGTCCTACGCCTAATCCCTAAATTGAAGCATTCAAATTCTCAAAAGATATAACCACTTTTGCAGGGTAATATACCTACACTATATTACCAACAGTTTTGGGACACCCCTCCAAATCACTGGATTCAGGTGTTCCAACCACCTCTGTGGCCACAGGTGTATAAAATCAAGCACCTAGGCATGCAGACTGCTTCTACAAACACTTGTGAAAGAATGGGTCGCTCTCAGGATCTCAGTGTATTCAAGCGTGGTCCTGTGATAGGTTGCTGTGTAAAGGCAGGCGTCCCAATACTTTTGGCAATATAGTGTATGTTATATATACACCATATTGCCAAACATATTGGGACTCCTGTCTTTACACGCACATGAACTTTAATGGCATCCCAGTCTTTGTCCGTAGGGTTCAATATTGAGTTGGCCCACCCTTTGCACCTATTGCAGCTTCAACTCTTCTAGGAAGGCTGTCCACAAGGTTTAGGAGTGTGTCTATGGGAATATTTGACCATTCTTCCAGAAGCGCATTTGTGAGGTCAGGCACTGATGTTGGACAAGAAGGCCTGGCCCGCAGTCTCCATTCTAATTCATCTCAAAGGTATTCTATTGGATCAAGGTCAGGACCTTGCTTTGTGCACTGGTGTGCAGTCATGTTAGAACAGGAAGGGGCCATCCCCAAACTGTTCCTACAAAGTTGTGAGCATGAAATTGTCCAAAATGTCTTGGTATGCTGATGCCTTAAGAGTTCCCTTCTCTGGAACTAAGGGGCCAAGCCCAACCCCTGAAAAACAACTCCACACCATAATCCCCCCTCCAAAATTTACACTTGGCACAATGCAGTCAGACAGTAAGACTGAAGTACCGTTCTCTGGAAACCAACAAACCCAGACACGTCCATCGGATTGCCAGACAGAGTAGAGTGATTGGTCACTCCAGAGAACACATCTCCACTGCTCTAGAGTCCAGTAGCGGCGTGCTTTACACCACTGTATCCGATGCTTTGCATTGCACTTGGTGATGTAAGGCTTGGATGCAGCTGCTCGGCCATGGAAACCCATTCCATGAAGCTCTCTACGCACTGTTTTTGTGCTAATCTGAAGGCCGCATGAAGTTTGGAGGTCTTTAGCTATTGACTCTGTAGACAGTTGGCAACTTCTGCGCACTCTGTGCTTAACTTGCGCTGACCCCGCTCTGTCATTTTACGTGGCCTACCACTTGGTGGCTGCATTGCTGTTGTTCCCAGTTGCTTCCACTTTGTTATAACACCACTAACAGCTGACCGTGGAATATTTAGTGGCTAGGAAATTTCACTTATTGCACAGGTGGGCAACCTATCACGGTACCACGCTTGAATTCACTGAGCTCATGAGAGCGACCCATTCTTTCACAAATGTTTGTAGAAGGTGTCTGCATTCATAAGTGCTTGATTTTATACACCTGTGGCCATGGAGATGATAGGAACACCCTGAATCCAATGATTTGGAGGGCTGTCACAATATTTCTGGCACTATAGTGTATGTTACAGTTCAAGTCCCCATTCACAAAGCATAATTTATTAAAAATAGAAATATTTACAAAATTGCAGTTTAATCTATTTAGATGCTCTTTCCTGCAAATTCTAATGATTTTGTTTTTTTTCTTTTGTGAGGGAATCTGGGAAGCGGTTTACCATAATCAACCCTGTCTGTTCTATGCAGATATTCTCTGTATCAGTACTAGATTTGAACAGAAGGTTAAAGGTTTAGGAGCTTGGCTTCTCCGTTGCATGTTAAAAGCGGAACTATACTCGCCTAAACTCTAGTGATGCAGCGTCCCGGAGCTCCCTGCCTGGCCGGCTTCCGGGTCCCAAATGTTGGCCGCTGTCATTGGCCGTGCAGGGATGGTATCACTCCCGCGCATGTGCAGTTCAGTCAAAATTGGCTGAGTTTGTACAGTGAGCTGCACATGTTAGTCGTCGTGTGGTCAGAAATGTGTCCTTGAACAGCAGATGTAATTTTTTCTAGAGTGTCACTTTTAGCTTGTGGATTAAACTGAAGGACTTATTGTAAAAATTAATCTTTCACATTTTGGCCATTCTGAATTGGCCATTGAAGAAATTGCCTGACTTTGCCATACGGGATCAAATACTCCTTTGTATGCGGTTTTCATTAAAGTATAACTAAAGGCAAAACTTTTTTCTGTTTTGGATTGAGTAGAGATGGATTGGAACACGTCAGTATTTATTGCTGTCTGTGCTTCCATTAGGGAGATTCACCCTCTCTATGGTCCTTTTTATGTTTATCATTGTAGGTGAAAGTAAAAGAAAAATCACAAATTTTGGGTTGTCCCCAGAAAAGTAATAGACTGGAAATCTTCCAATGGGGACACTAGTTCTGGTGACCTGGGGTCTCTAACGAATTTCCCTAATTTACAGGGATTTCTGATCACTTCCTGTTAGGCTATGAGACAGGAAGTGAAGGGAAATCTATGCAATGGGACACAGATGGTGAAAAAAAAATAAAAAATCTGCTGGGGTTATAACCCTCCCATGCTCTATTCGAAATGAAAAAAAATGTTTTGCTCATAGTTCTAAGGCAGCCCATTTTACACTGAACAAGCCTTAGTAGACAAAGAAACTCACTGCACTTTGGCCTATGCAGCACACACTGGCATCACATTTGTGGGTTGTGGCACGCTGAAGGGCCATTGCTTTTTTACACTGTATAAATACATTGGAGTGCCATTCATACTGAAGGAAACATATACATCACCTTAATGTGCATTGAGGGAATATGTGTTAATACTTGGGATTTAAAGCACATTACTGCAAGTGCAAAGACATGAATCCCCAACCTTCTTCCAAAAAAAAAAACATAAATCCAATGGACACTTTCTTTTGGTTGTCCAGTTGCGAGGGATTCTTAGGACCCAGAAGAGGAGCAACATCAGTGCATGGGAACTGTTGGGGACTAGCCAGCACAGGACAGGATTAGTGGCCCCTGCACCTGGAGCCAGCAAGGGACCCTGGCTAACTTAGAGTATATTTTGCTTCACAGGGTAAGAAAAAAACATGCAGAGCTGGTTACAGGGGAGTGGATTCATGTTTTGCCCACAGTTGCGCTTTAATTAGAAATCTACATATAAGTCAGATATGATCAGATACACACTTCTAGAGAAGAATGAGCAAACACAAGGACAAAAAACATCAAGACCGGAGAAATTCACAGGCTACTAAGAGGTAGATTTACTAAAACTGGAGAGTGCAAAATCTGGGTGCAGCTATGCATGGTAGCCAATCAGTTTCTAACATCAGCCCTGATGATCAGTGCCCTGATGATCAGTGCCCAGCAGTGTCCCCCACCAGTGCCGCCCACAAGTGCCCAGCAGTGCCACCCACCTGTGCCCATCAGTGCTGCCAGTCAGTGCCACCCATCATTGTTGCATATCAGTGCCGCTTATCAGTGCTGCCTCATCAACGCACATCAGTGAAGGAGAAAAATTTCCTCTTTGCAAAATTTTATAATAGAAACAAAGAAAAACTTTTTTTTTCAACATTTTTGCTCTTTTTTTTTTTTTATAACGCAAAAACTAAAACACCCAGTAGCGAGTAAATACCAACAAAAGCTCTATTTGTGTGAACAAAAAGATAAAAATTTCATATGGGTGCAGTGTTGCATGACCACGCAATTGTCATTCAAAGTGCAACAGCGCTGAAAGCTGAAAATTGGCCTGGGCATGAAGGGGGTATAAGTGCCGGTAGGCAAGTGGTAAAAGCCAAACATGTCCTCCTAGCAGAACTCTAATACATGCTGATCTATACCTGTATTAGGGACAACTTTCTTACTGGTTTTAGGTCTTTTTTGTTTGATTTCACAGGAAGAAATTTGCTTATTCAACATAAAAGCACTAGAGAAAAGCCACTACACACAAATGCTATACTGCATTAGTGGAGCAATACTGTACATCTGGTGTACTACTTCTACTGAGTCTTCTCTACTATTGCATCTCTTGTATTCCAGGCATTCTGAATGGCTATGCACTTTCTTCAAAGCTTACAGTTTTTATACTTGGGTATGGTAGCACAGTTCTCATGAATGTGACTATACAGACTCCATCAGTGGAAGTTGCTGGGCTGGTATTTCGAGGTTCTGACGACTTAAAATATCAGTCGGATAGCTGTAATAAAATGTTTCTTATGTACAGCTGCCTATAAATTGTCTGTCTTAAGCACAAGAAATCCCAGGCCAAGAAGCACATGCACCATTTAGTGGGTATATTTACATTACTAAGGGCCAGTGTTGAGGTCAAGGTGTTAGTTAGGGTACCTTAGTTTAGGAAATCACAATCTATGCTCAATTGCGTCAGCACTAAAATAGGATTTTTATCTTACCAATAACATTTGAGTAACCTAAAGGGATACAGGATTGAGGATTTGGAAAGGTCAGTCACAGTATTTGGAGTACACTAAGGATTGTCACAGAGCACTATCTGACCTGCTTCCCTTTAAGATTACGTTCACATACTGGGCCGGATTCAGTAAAAATTTGAAAAAGG